GAAACAAGAGGACAGATCTCTTGCAAATCGGAAGGGACCAAGGAGCCCAAGAGCAAGGGGAGAAGGGAAAGGGAAGAGGAATTTTAAAAGTTAAGATAACGTCATGTGAAGGAACTAATAACTTCAATGAATGTAAACACTATGCACCATAAACATGAGCTAATAATAATAATAATAATAATGAAAATGGTGAAAGGAGATTTAGAGCTGGGAGAAGGGAAATGGGTGGGAAGGGGAAGGAGATTTTTTTTAAAAAGTGTATTACGTACATACACCTACTCCCCAAGATGAATGGAAACTTTATGTACTACAAATATGTACTAATAAAATAATAAATAAATAAATGTAGAGCAAAATCTCATTATTTTATTGTAGTCTTTCATGAGATCCAGGAGGTAAACTTGGATTATTACTCAGGTGATTGAACAGTCTACCATATATGATATCAAATGGTTATCTCAATTAAATAAGCAAGAAAATGATCAGTCATCCTGAATACTCTCCCTTCCATCTCTCCTCAAAGCAATTATCTACGAGTCCCATCTTTACCCACCAAGATATATCTGGAATTTGTTATTTCTCTTTCTCTGCTGCCATTAGTTCTGGTGGTCAACTGCAAGCATTAACTGTCACAATAGCCTTTCAAGTGTGCCTCTCCTCTTTCTTGGATGCCCTGATCAGGACACTCGTCCACCCTGCACACAGCAGGAGTAATCTTAAAACACATACTGGATCATATCATTCCCATCGTTAATCATTCCAATGACTTCCCACTGTGCTTCTGTGAATTCCAACTTTTCCCCATGGCCTTAGGTCCTGCATGACTGTGGCTACTCTCTCTCCAGTATCTCTTGCTGCTTCCTCCTGTCCCCATCCTATCTTAACAAAACTCCTATTCTTCAACCTAAGATCCTTCCTTCCTCAAAATTTACTATACTTCTACCTCCCTCCTCCCGAACCATGCTTCAGGCTTCTGTCAAATTGGAACCTCTACCAAGATGTTTACCTGAGGATCTTATCTACCGAGGGTGCCTCTCACTGTTCTCTTTTTCTGCACTCTTTGTTTCTTTCATAAAATATAATCCACCAAGAGCAGAGTTCTTGTCTGTGTCACTCACAGTTATAACTGGTACCTGGCAAATTGTAAATACTGTAAATACTGCATTTTTGAATGTTAAATCAAATGCCCCAATTACAGCCTCAGACACTCCTTCTATTACAAGAAAGCCTGTATTTACCACACACCAGATACTATTATAGGTATTGAGGGTAACAATGTAGGAAAGTCTCCACATTCATAGAACTTAGAGTTGGTGGCAAACATTAAGGCAGAAGCACGATGAAGAAAATAAAGCAGAGCAACAGGCCAAGCATAAGTTGGAGGCATATTTGGTATCTACTTTAAGCAGTCCAGGCTCTTTCAGAGCCTCAATCTCAGTGAAGAGAAGGAGCCAGTGACATTGAAACAGGGAAAGGCACTTGAGCAGAGGCTCCTCCAACACACAGATGCTGAGACTGGAGCATATGAGATAGGCTGAGGCCCATATGCTGGGTCCAGAGGGTGAAAGTCAATCTTAGAGCTGGCCTGCATCAGGTTGGCCTCTTAGGCCATGGTAAAGAGTAAGGGTTTCCTCCTAAGGATGATTAAGAGGTCACCAGAGGCTTTTGAGTAGGGAGCATTGTCATCTGATTTAATTTTTTGAACCAATCTTGACTTGAGTGAGGAGGCCAGGTAGGAGGCTATGCAAATACACACAAGAGAGTTACTGACAGTGTGGATCAGAGAGGTATCTACAGAGGTTGGGAATAGGATGTAAAGCCTCTCTGGGAGGCTACAGTGCCAAATTTGGTTCTGGAACTGTGAAAAATACTGCCTTCCTCAGGGACTGCAACCTTCAGATACTCTGTTGTATCCCTGGCTTGGCCAAGCTTGAACTCACTTGATTTAGTTCCTAGGAGATACCTTTGCCCTTATTAATACCTGACCTTATCAGAGAAGAATGCAGCATACACAGCTGGTTTTCTTTCCTTCCATTTACGGACTCATTTTACTGAAAGGAAAGATAACTATAGAGAAAACAGAGGCAGTGTGGTGAATTGACAACTGGTGGTCAATTTTTAACACCCAGCTGAACTGAACCAGCATGGTGCTGCATGTGGGAAGCCCACCTGAAGATTGTTGTTGGCAGCATAAGAGACAGAACTGCAGAGGAAGAAGTTTAGAAGCTGTTGGGAAGTTGTTGGCTTGCTGGAGGAGTTTGTCATGCTGGCTTTCCTGATGAACTTGGATGTTCTCATCATCAAAGGAGCTCAGAACCTTGCTGTCACTGAGAATGGTTTTGGTTCACTTTGGGAGAGCTCTGGTCCTCATTTTGAGCATCGCTTCCTGGCCCTGGAGGGGAAGATGGTGCACTGTTCATTGTCCTGGAAAAGCTTGTCTAGTTGGCTTTCCTGATGGGAACTAGGGTTTCCTCATCCTCAGAGGAGCTTGGGACCTCACTATTGCTGAGGGTGGCTGTGATACTTTTCAGGGGAGCTCTGGTTCTTACTTTAAGCATCACTTCCTGGCTCCAGTGCAGATCCCTCAGCCTGCTAGCACAGATCCTTCATCCCACAGGCACAGACTTTCTAGCTTCCACCACTAACCTTTGAGCCTTCCCAGAGCAGATCCATGGAACAGACCTGCATGTGACATGGGCTCTTGGCCTCCAGTTGGGACTCATGGAGAACATTGCCATAGGCTCTAAGTCTTCAGTTAGACTCATGAAGGACATTACCATGGAATCCAAGTCCTCAACTGTATTCTTTGGTCTTTAGTGTGTGGGCAGATTTCCTGCACTCCCTTTGTATATGATTCTTTAGGTGACTATTATAAAATTATCTTATAATTAAGTGCCCTGTATTGTATTGTTTCCCCTTGCAAAACTCCAAACTATGACAGGAAGGATGGTGGGTGCTTCTTTGTACCTCTTAGCACCTACTAAGGTTCAATTAATCAAAAAAGTGATCAGAATGTGACCTGAAAAGTTTAAAAGTGTGAATCCAAAAGAACAATTGCACAGACGTGAATAGCAGGCACTCACAGCAAAATGCCCAAAGTCTGATTTTTGTCCCATGGCCAGGAAGCCACTGAAGTACACTTTCCTGAGAGGCTAGGATCAAGTGTCATTTCTCCAAGGGCTAAGTAAATGAGTGCAATCACTGTAACTGAATCCTTCAACCGCCATTCCAGAGACAGTTTTAGCCCATCCCGAAAGCTGGAGCCATTACTCCTCTCTGAGCAAGAGCAGAACAGAGAGGCCAGGGCTAACCGAAAGAAAGCTGATCACAGTGGCTCAAGATGAGAGGCAGGTCACACTCTGAAAGGGAGAGAGTAGCTCCCACAGCTGCTAGGTGCTGGCCAGGACTTAGTACTCTCACCAGCCTCAGAGAGTTCAAAAGACAAAGGTTGGTAAACAGTAGAGGATAGCTATCATTCTTAGCAGTGGCACAAGCCTCTCTCCTACAGATTGCCAGATCTCTGGAAAACAACTGCAGAGGAAATTCGTCTGCTTATAGATGGCTTTGCTGAGTGGGTGTGTGCAAAACTTGCCGAAACTAGGGCAGAAAGTCACTGTGGCAACCTGGGCACTGTAAAGTCTTGTTTCAGAGCTGCTTCCCAAAGCATGGCTCTATGACCACAGCTCTTCTGTTATGACTAAACAAGTTAATCCATGGCGAGTGCTGAGAGACACCTGGCACCAAGCAAGGATTCAATAAAGATTAACCATCTTTGCTATTGACATTTGTCTGTGCTTCTCCACTAAGAAATTGTTGTATTTTGCATTTGTATTGGCATACATCTAACCTGATACATTATAAATTCCTAGCAGGAGGCAGCTGAGTCTTATTTGTCTCATGCATCTCAGAGTATGACACTGTGCTGGGTTCCATTAATGTTTGTGGTTTGAACTGAATTAACCACCTAAAACCAAACATTTTTAGGTGCATCATCTTGCAAGTGGAACAAATGAAAAAAGCTGGGCAAAATAAAACACAAATGAAATTTGAATTTCCTCTACCTCTTCATTTTCCCATCCTATCTTTTTCTAGTGTCCCTCCTTTTACTGCTGTCTGTTACGTTTCTTCTGGGGCAAACTGGTTTCATGTGAGTCAGCAGAAGCAGTAAACCTAGTAAACTCAATTTTGACACCTTCTGGACCCCCAAAGAGATTGTATGTCTGAGAGGATACCCAGAAGGGCACAAGCTGGAGACATATGACCAGATTTGTGAGTACTACATTATTACCTCCAGCAAGTTGCTCTTGACATACACTGAATCAGTAATAGTAATAACAATAACAACTACTATTCACTGAACATTTGAGCACTTTTATATATTTCTCATTTAATCCTTCCACCAAAACAAAGTGTATGTTCTGCTAGTTCCATTCCTCAGCTTTAAAAAGAAGTTAAGGCACACGAAATCACAGCAAGCTTTGCAATGCTCAAAGTCAAACCCAAGCCCTTGACTTTCTAGGACTCATTTAGGTAACCAATCCAGTCTACAGCAGCACTTGGCCACACCACCCAGCTCTAATGCACAAACACCACAGCACGAGCGCTCAGCAGAGCAGAGCACACTGTGCTTCCCTTGCCAATCCTTGTCTTCCCAGGACACTACCCGGCAGCCCAGCATATCTCAAAAGACCAGCAAAAGAATTCACAGGCTTCTCCCTTCACCTGTCCCCAGCTGCTGCCACACTTAACACATGCCTTAAAATGTGACAACCTCTGATTTGTAACTTACGCCTAAGGGATCTGCTCCCATTTTCTCTTCTGGTGAAAAGTACTGGAAAAAGTACTGGAGCTACAGTTGCTGAGGCAAAGGATTTATTGGTTTGATTCTCATCAAAATTCAACCTCTGTTATTAAGATTAGACTTGGACTTTTAGTTTGAGCCCTACTCCTCCCTCACCTTGCTCCTCCTCCTACAATGTATAACCAGGCAGTGCTGCGAACATAGAGGCAGGGACTGTCGGCTACACATTCTACGCTCAGTACAGGACCTGGAATTAAGAGGACTCTCAACCCATAGAATGGCAGGAGATAAGGTAAATCAGCATCAGGTTCATTTTAAATCTGGCTTTGAAAAAAATGAGTAGGGAAATTTGTTCACATTGGTGAGTACACAGAGCTTGGGGAATGTTGGATATAGCTACTGCAAATCAAAGCTACTTCTCTCTACTTGGTCAACTGATAAGTCATTTGGTTGCTAAAGAAAAACCTACTTTTTATTCAGTAATTGGGGTTTAAGGATGTTTGCTCTGTTTTCTGACTTTTTTTCCAAGTGATTCTGTAAAACCATACAACTCAAGGAATGTGCCTTCTTCCCTAAATAGGGTAGATTAACCTGAATTTACTCATGAAAATTGATTTGGAATATTCAAAAATGTTGATGCATGAAAGGCAAAAGAGGGAGGAAACAATGCTTGAGAAAAAAGACTGAAGAACTGGCAAAAATTGCAACAAGTATCTTAGATCACAGAAGAAAGATAAACCAGTTACAAAGGACAATATGAGGATAGTTGGGAAATTTTAAATGTGAACTATGTCTTAGTTAATATTAGTATATCAATATTATATTCTTGGATATGATAATCTATTGTAACCATATAGGAAGATATTTTTGTTCTCAGTGAGTCCATGCTGAACTATTTAAAAGTGAGGTGACACAAACATCTGAAGCTTATTTGTAAATATTTCAGCCCAAATGACACATACACACACACAGTGAGAGTTCAATGCAGCGGATGTTCACCACTGATGATTGTAAGTGAAGGTTGTGAAGTATTCACTGCACTCTTATTTTAACTTCTCTATAGATATACTTTCTGATATAAAAACTTAAAATTATACAACACTTGTTCCCTTGGAAGTTGTCCTGAACCAAAGTCACTCACACAGGTATACAATAATACAAGTTGATAAATCTATGCTCCTGTTAAAGTAGGACTTTAAATTTGACCTGGTCGGACATACTCTGCTAATCATCAGTTTACACCAATAAAGAACATGGTTTGCAGCATAAGCTTTCAAGCCAGCATGCTTGGATCTATGCCTTAGCAGTGCTTCTTCACTGCTGTGAGACTTGGGTTAAATTATTCAACTGAGCTTTGGGTTTTCTATATTTAAATAAAATAAGAACAAATTGAGACATAAATGGGTTATTTAGGCCTTGAGAATGATTAAATCAAATAATATCAGAGAAGATTCTATGGCAAACATTTTAATGTTAATAGTTATATAATATATATTTAAAGAATAACAAACATATCACAGTTTTATGCACACTGAAGCCCAGGATAAAGCTTACATAGAACTTTAAATACAATTTAAAGATGAACACTAATAACTATAGAGATTATGTGCACCTTTGGCAAAAATAATGGAAGGTGATGCAAGAGGGAAGGTAATGTGCTTAGCAGAGAGCTGGCAGAAAGCAGATGCCCAAGCTTCATTTACAACTAATTAAACTTCCATAGGGACTTTAGAAATTAGGTTGTAGAACTTTCCTTGAGAAACAAGGAATCTTCTAATAACAGAATCTAAAAATATTTGAGAACCTGTATAAAAAGCAATGTTTTTCAGTTTTGTGATTCTACCCAGAGTTTAAAAGGGATAAGTTAATCATGGAACTATGGGTCACGAAACCTAAGGTGTTGCTTTGGATAGGCACAGAACTCAGACAATGGCTTAGCCTGTGGGACCTCAATTGCTTTAATTGAAAACTGGTGGAATCAGACAAGCATTCATCAATCTCTAAACTTAATTTTAATCTAAAAATTCTATGACTTGAGAAGGCCCTGGCCTTTTCCAATTTGGGGGCAAGATCACCATTGGCTTGGCTTCCTAGAGCATATTGTTTTAAGGAAGTACATAAGCTTTCTTCTCTTCTTAGTCAATTGGTAGTTGCTGAAAAATTTTCTCTTTCATTCAATAGTGATGGTTTAAGACCATCAGTTTATAGTCCTATAATAGAGTATTTGTTACAGTGGTGCCTCAGTTCATGAATGTAATTCTGTGATTCTGGTTGCAAATTGAATTGGGCAGGAACCAATCAAATTTCCCCATAAGGTTAACATTGAACATAACACTGAATTTGATTTGGTTTTCATCCAATTCAGTCTGTGACCAGAGTGGTGGAAGGAATTAAGCTTATGAACCAAGGTACTACTGTACTTCTGTGGTGTTAGGCTTGCCCCTCAATCATCTCTGAGCCTAGTTTCTTCAGCTGTAAAGTGGGGGTTAATTTCACGTACTGTTGTGAAGATTATTGAAGCACTGTTGTGAAGACTATTGGTGATATATGAAAAGTGAACACAGGGTTGTTTGACAAGAGTAATTTTTGAGATGATAAAGATGTGAACAAAGATGCATTTGTTCACTTGCCCTTTTACTGTTTGAAGGACAACCACATTATTTATTTATCTTACTTAGCTTTTATGATAATCTTATGCATTAACTATCATTTATAGGCAAAGAAACTGAGGCTCAGGGGTGGTCCAGCTTAGCTAGGACTTTTTCTTCAATTGTCTATTTCCAGATGTACTTGTTTATTTTTAATAGAGTCTCTCTGACTTCTTCTAAACCATAAAATACACACATTGCCTTCCATTTTAAGGTTCAGCTGTTTGCCTATTCTACCCTTCCACATTTATCCCATAGAATATTTTATTTTACTTTAGTTATTGGTACTGGGAATTGAATTCAGGACCTTGAGCTTACCAGGCAGGTACCATGCCACTCACCTATCTCCTTGGCCCACCATGAAATATTTTAAATTAGATGAGAAAACTAGTTTCTCTAACTTAATATCATTAAGCTCTAAGTAAAGGCAGAATTTTATCAAAGTGTTAGTTTAATACCTTATAGCTTACAAAGATATTTAGATGAAAAGCCTTAAGATTGTCTGCTACTTACTAAACATGGAGTTTTTGCAAAAGTTATTAACTGTCTCCATATATGTTTCCTTACATGTGAAAGGATAATGATAATTTCCACATACAAGAATTTTAAGAGAACAGGCAAACCAGTTAGGACCCTAGACCCTGAACTGAATAAGGTCCCAAGTTCTCACTATTTTCATCAGCTCTTAAGTACTTATATTGTGGCAATACTTTGGGTATTAGAGTGAAAAGATAAAGGTTAATAGGGCTTTTTCATACTTAATAATTTTCAAAAATTTTTCCGCTTAATAAACAGAACTTTCTCAGACCAAGTCCAGGACCAATCCATGTAAAAAGCAAAAAGGATTTTTGAAGATATGATTGAGATGAAGAGATTTTCCTGGATTATCCAGATGACTCAAATCTAATCCCATGCATTCTTCAAACAGAAGAACTTTTCCTTGGTGTTATCTGCACCAGAGAAATGTAACACAAGAACCTACATGCCCTTGCTAGCAGTGCAGATGGAGGGAGGGTACAACTAGCCGAGAAACGTATTGAATCTGGTGCTGAGAATGGCCCTCAGTTTACATCCAGGAGGAAAACATAAAACTCAGCCTATCATGATGAGGAACTGCACCAACCCAAATTTTCTCCTGCAGCCTCCAGAAAAGAACATAGCCTGCTAACACCCTGAATTTAATCTGCTGAGATTCATACTGGATTTCTGACTAACAGAAACTATAAGATAAATAGGTTCATGTTCTCTAAACCAGTGGATTGGCGACAATTTGCTACAGTTTCAATAGAAAACACAAAGAATAAATGAAATAATCCACAGAAAGAGTGATCAGATGTGCAGTTGATGTTAATACTCAGTACTAGGCTTTGAAACTGGTTTTGCCCTACAATTCACATCACATTGTCCAGACTATAGTGACAGAGAGTATGAGGGAAGTAGATCAAAGCCTTCTGAAGGCACCTGGTCCTTGCACTGCTGACAATGACTATCACCTGTGAATTGGTTGAAATTCCTATCTTTGAAAACAGCTTGAGGCATAAAAGGCTTAAAGAGAAATCACCAGTCAAGTAAATGGAACCCCATTTTAGTTTTGGATGTTGGAGTAATTGAGTTTTAGATGTCTAGTGACACTTTAAAGGATAATTCAAAATCTCTTGTGTTCTATGCACTGTATAGTGTATGTATGCACACATTAAATGTAATTTATTTATATATAATATTTATTTATTTATTGTCTTTTTGAGACAGGGTCTTGCTATGCAGTTCAGGCTGGCCTTGAGCTCACTTTGTAGCCCAGACTGGTCTCGAACTTGCAATGATCCTACTGCCTCAGCCTCCTAAATGCTGGGATTATAGGCATGCATCATCATGCCCAGCATATTATTTATTTTTAATAAGTATATATCTCATATACTATGTGCTTCTTTGGGAATGTGTGTCTATATGTATATATCTCATATTATAAATTTTGTGTCACTTGGAAGCCCTTTATTCCAGAGAAGGAAGTTACTGGGTGGAAAGTCTGCATAGATGCTGCCTAACATTAGTTTAAGAAAAAAAGAGCTTAGCAAGGCGGCAAAAGCGCCTGCCTGGCAAGCGCAAGGTCGTGAGTTCGGTTCCCAGTACCAGAGAAAAAAAAAAAAAAAAAAAAAAAAAAAAGAAAAAAAGAGCAAATTTTGTAAATCTCATTGTTTCTCAGCCTTTTGACTAAGATCAAGTGTTGTAAATCCATAGATTCCCCAGTCCCCACTTGAGATTCCAATCCAGTAGGCTGTTTGGGGTAAATTTCCAAAAGCTACTATATACCAAGCTCTCCAAGTGGGGTCTCATTTTAGAGCCAGGAGACTGAATAACTTCAGATTCTATGATGATACTTCATTGATGATAACACTGTGAAATTTCTAATTGATAAACTCAGTAGGAAATTTGGAGTTTTGGTTAATTATTTATTCTTAATGCTGAATGGGAAGATTTATAATCATCCCATAATTTAGACAAAAACTAAAGCTCCCATGGGTAAGTGGGTAGAGTTAGATATCCTTGACGTGAAAGAGTGGAAACTGTAATCCATGCTTATATGACTCATTCATTCAGCAATATGTCTACTGTATCCCAGGCAATTTACTTAAAATTTAGAATGTTATAATTATATGCAAAATATCTCCCTATAAAATGTCTAATAACATGAATAAAAGAAAAAAATATTCCTTTACTTTCCTTCTCCAACCCATTCCTTTTCAAAAGTCATCAATTTGTTATTCATTCATAAAAAAAGTTCTATGAATTACATAAATATTCACAAATCAAGGAATATTCATCTTCACACCTTTTAAAAAAAGCATTATTAACATAATTCTTTACACTTAAAAATAGGTCAGTGCATCTGATCTCACACTTAACTCCCACATAGCATGTTGCACACATCTAATATAGGTATCATGATTATCTGAATCTATTTGACCATTTACCATTGAATGAGATTTACTTTCCTTCTGCAATTTTTGTTATTACATACATACACACAGTGCTGTGCAATATCCTCATATGTAAATCTGTATGCATAATGTGATTTCTTTAAAATGGTCAGATATATAATTATGAGTTGAAAAGTATCATACTTAACAGTTATATTATCTTCATGGAGTTGGGGAGAAGTAATATAACTTAACCCACCACTCTAGATTCAACTAGATGTAAATCTTATAAAGTATACTACATGAATATTAATGTAGATCATAATAAAGCCTGGTTGGCGCTCTCATATGACTGCTAAGATGCTTTTGTACTATGGCAAAGTCCAGAAAGCTCTCCCTTTCTTTGTTACTGATGTTGTATATGAGTTCTCCCAAGGACATATGAGACACTTTCTATCTTAGCAATCTTTGCTTCAGCAGCAGTTTAGCCCTCAGTTCTGATTTTGAATCTTAAAAATATATATATGTTAAGAAAAAGATGTGTGGTTCCTCTCCTGGAAAAAGCTGTCCCAAGTATTTTTCAGTTTTAGCACTACAGAGGAAATCATAAATGACTTTCACATTCTCAGATGAAGAACACCTACCCATCAGAGCACAGAGCATACTGTGAAAGGTCAGCAGGGGAAAGAACCAGCCTGTGAAGCCTGGAAAAAGACCACATTCCAGGAGAGTGGGATGGTGGGTAGCTGAACTGCATGATGTACCCCAGACCTGTGTTTCATCCCACAGATCACCGGAACCTTGGTTTTCACTGTCTTCACTGCAGCACTTAGTTCTTTCCAGTTTGGATATGACATTGGTGTGATCAATGCACCTCAACAGGCAAGTGAAACATGAACACGTGTAAGCTCTTTCTGGGACAAGTTTTGTCATGAAGATAAAGTGTGTCCACGTGGGGGACATAGGGTAATGCTGGCCTGCCAAGTGCAATGCACGTGGTTCTTACGCTGATAACTTGGCCTTGACTCCTCAGTTAACAGCCCACAGGGGGAAAAAAAAAGGCAATAAATAATGCTTGATCTCTGCCTCTGCTGTTTGCTGAGCTCACAGAAAACTCTAACTAGAATACCATATGCCCAGACAGCTTATTGCAGCATTCATTGAGTGCTCTCGCCCATGCATAATTTTTTTAAATGTCAGAGAATAAGAGGAAAGTATAGAAGGATATGTTTTCTTCTGTGCATGTTTATTGAGCACCTACTTATTTGCACCAGGCATTTTAACATATGTTCTTCTGAGCCAGACCCTCTCAACAACCTTATTATACCCTTTCCAGGCCAGATCATAACTTTTAGAAGTCCTAACTCTAAAGTCCTTCACTACATTCCTGTCTCCCATAGGTCATTCAATATAAAGTAATACAAAATTTAATGATAGTTAAGAGATCCAACAAAGTTTAAATGTTCTCCATGATTGTTTGGATTGTCAGTTTTTTTTTAAAAAAATCAAATAATTTCTATCATTTTTCTAATTTATTTTGCATATCTCTGCTCTGATGTGCTTCTAGTTGATTATACCTTAGTATCATATTGGCCTCTACTGAAGTACATTATAAAATATAAGTCTGTGAGATTTGATTTTAAATATTGTTTCTTCTGTGACACACTAAACTCTATGACAGCAATGGCGAGCCTTTTAGAGATTTCAATAACGAACAGCCCACCGTGGCATGCCTGCCATAGGTTCGCCACTGCTCCTAGGACGCTTAGAACAAACTTCTTTCAAGTCTTCATATCTTCTCAGAATCCATAGAGTTGTTTTTATCTTTGGAATTTGTCAGTCATGTTCCTGATTATTTTCTTTTTATTTCCCTGGCTGCTAGGAAGTCTAGCACTAAATGTATAGCTTACTTCTATCAAAGATAATACACCGAGTATTTGAATTTCGTATGCTATTAACTTATTACTTATCCTCATCTTATCTTCTCCAGTCTCTTCTTCTGCTTCTCTTAGAATACTTAAATCTATTTAAATCTTATTGTGTAAAAGTAATACTGATAGAAAAACATATCTTTTTAACTGAAAGAATATTTTCAATTTAAATATTTGCCAGGAATTAAAACCTGAAAACTTAAGCAAAACCTCAGATTTCTAGATTTTATTTAAAAATTAAAGGTCATCCAACACCAGCCTTGCTTCTACAGTTTCTTCCTTTAGGCGGGGCAAATGCTACTCCTCCACAAGCTAACCACTCCCAGTTACATTCTCACTTTGAATCGGTGAATTCATTAGTGAATTACTTCACCATTTTGGTCATCAAGATACTTCATGTCGGGGCTGGGGATTTAGCTCAATGGCAAAGCGCCTGCCTGGCAAGCGCAAGGTCATGAGTTCGGTTCCCGGTACCGGAGAAAAACAAAAAACAAAAAAACAAAAAAACAAACAAACAAAAAAAAAGATACTTCATGTCTACTTCCCTGAATTTTTCTTGCCTGGTCCCTGCTAATATTGGATTTGTGACTTCTGTCTCATAGAATATGGTCAGTTATAAATCTATCCATGTTGTATGGCTATAACACACGTAGTTGAAGTGGTCCTCTTTAAATACCTAACAAATGTTGTAAAGGAAAATAAAAAATACATAAACTGTTTGAAATATTGAGTTTATCTTTATTTTATTTCTACAGATAATAATATCCCATTATAGACATGTTTTGGGTGTTCCACTGGATGACCGAAAGGCTACTGACAATTATGTTATCAATACTACAGAAGCACTGCCCATAACCCCACACTCAGGGAACCCAACACCAGGCCCATGGCCTGAAGAAGAGATTATGACATCTACTGGCCTAGTCACCATGCTCTGGTCCTTGTCTGTATCCACCTTTGCAGTGGGTGGAATGATTGCATCATTTTTTGGTGGGTGGCTTGGGGACAAGCTTGGAAGGTAGGTATATTTCATAAATATAAACACAGAGACTTTAGCATTTGGTATTGTTAGAATTTGCTTAGAAAGATACTCTTTCCTTCTGTGTAACAGTCTGACTTGTTTTTCAACTCATAACCCGATAAGACATGTCAATACTAGACCAAACCAATGGAAAATACTGTTGCAATAATCTAGTTAATTGTGGAAGCATTTACAAAAAAGTGAACTTGGTGTGCATTTTTAGATAATCACTGTGATTCTTGGGATTTGTAAGTTATAAAACATACTAAGAAACCACTGCACAAATGGTTAACTCAGGGGCTCAGCAGAAGAAGCTAGGTTGGAATTTTTAACTTGGAAATCTACCATCACTTTTCAAGTCACACCCATTTCTCAGACATCCAGATTTTTATTTTTAAATGAGAATTTGGCATTTGGATCAATCGAGTCAGTATTGCCAACTCCCAGTAGCTCTATTTTCTTGGAATAGGGTTTCTATCTACTGCTGCTACTCCTACCTCAAAGCCCCAGCCCAAAGTTAAACAAGATGAAGCATTTCTAAACTGTGGCTTCTATTAAAAGTTCTAGATTAAAAACATCAGTAGTGCTCCTCTCCTATGCACTTAGCTATCTGACACTAAAGCTAGGGGATTTCCTGACCTACATGGGGAAGAAATCAGAAAATGAAATGATTACTTCTTTAAGTTTATTTCCTGTTTCTGAGCCCAACTTTTGTGTATTAATTTTTACTTTCATGATAAAAATAATATATGACAAAAATAGAAAATTTAAGTATTGCAAAATCTTTTAAAGGTATAAATTACAAAAAGTAACAATAAGTCTGTATTATAATTAATTTAGTTTTTCTAATTTCTACTGTAAATTATGCTTTTTAACTATATAGTTATTTTGATTCTGAGAATTTTTTCCTTATCCTGGAACTTTATACACTAAGACCACAGTGAGTTTCTGTAACTAAAGAGTATCATGGCAATCCAAGTTTTATTCTTATTATTAAAAAGGAGTTTCCTTCATGATAAAAGAGAAAGATTGGGTTTTTAAATTTTTACCAGCTCACTGATGTTTAGTTAAAATGTAAATCAATATGTAAATACAAAATGAACTGACTTTCATCATTTAAAAGATGTAATAGTCATTTCATTTTGCACTAAATTTGTATAAATGGAGAATGTCCTAGATTATTTCTAAAGTAAATCAAACAAGATTAAATTTTAAAATATGAACAAATCAATTTTTAGAAGCTATTTACCATCCCTGAAGAAAAATTTAAACCTTTGTCCCTCATTTAGAGATGAGATTCTGACAGGTCCAGTGACTCAGCCTGAACCACTAAATTAGTGTCCTAGCAATGAAGCTAGGATGCATATCCTCTAGAGTTTTAGGACTTAACATCAACAGCAAACCTATCCAGAACAATGTCAAATAACCATTTTTTAAATGGTCTGTTATAAAGGAAAATGAAGTTTCTTTCAGCTCTCAACTGAAAATTATCTTCCTTGAAAAATAGTCATAAAAAAATAAGACCAAAGACTTCAGTGTCTCCCATAAAACTATTTTTCTAGGGAAAGTCATTGAAAAATGACATGATTATCCTTACTGTTAGAATCATATCTCCACTAGTTTAACTAAATAAAAATGTGTTCCTTGTATCATCACTTAAAAAAAAAATTCGTCTTTACAATTGTGTAACAGTCAACACAGGTCTATGACCACTGTTTTATGGATTTGGGTTTGCAAATTCAGATTTCCCCGAGGTTGTCCAGTTAAATTTAATTACAAGATTATAAGGAGGAAAATCAGTCTGTGGAATCCATACCATGAGTCAAGGAAGGTTAACACAGCAACTTAACTAATAGGGCCGAGGGTACACCTTAGTACTAAAGTTCTGGTCTAACTTGTGCAAAGCCTAGAGTTCAGTCCCCAGTACCACAAAAACAGAGGAAAAAAGAGGAACTTATTAAAATGGAGCATTAATAGCCTTTGGGTGTACAAGTCCCATGAGACATTACTCAACCTACACTTAATAGCTGTGTGAAAATGAACATATTACTTGGGCTCCCTAAGACATTTAACTACCACCTGCAATGTTGGAAAAATAAAATACCTACTTCATCACATTATAGTGAGAATTAAATAAGACAAAGTAGAAGGACTTGTGCACAATGCCTGCCACATAGTAAGAAAGCAGCAAATGAAGACTTGTTCTGATGATGGTGACTATGACAACAATAATGATGAAGCCTATGCTAACAGGGATAGAGGAAAATTTAAAGAAATATGCTTAGATTAAGTTTCTTGCTTCCTGGTTCAACCATTTCATATTTTTTATGTTAATTTTTGGCCATTTCTCACATCTGAGCCAAAACTCGTAATCTTTTAAGTTGTATAGTATTCTAATAAATATTATTTGGAAATGAGAAAGAGAGAAATTGGGCACCAAAAATCTTTTCAGGATTTTATTTAAGATTTTTGTCTTTTCCCCTCCTATCAAACTATTCACTGGCTGATAACAACTTCTTAGTATATTAGTGAACTTGCTTACTTTCTGTCTTTGTAAAGAGAAAAGGTATTTCAGGGTGGTCTGCAGAGAAACAATCATTAACCATCTGTGAACACATCAGCTCAGGGTGCTAGCCAGCTCTTAACCACTGTTCTGTATTCATGTAGCTAATTTCCTTACGTTAGCTTCCTATGGATGCTGTGACAGATACCACCAACTTGGTGACTTAACACAACACAAATTAATTTTCTTACAGTTTTAAGTCCAAAATAAGTTTCATTTAGCTGAAGTCAGGGTCTCAGCAGGGTTGGTTTCTTCAGGGAGCTCTGAGAGGGAAAACTGTTTCCTTTCCCTTTTCCAGTTTGTGCTGGCCTCCTCCAAGTAAGTGGCTTGTGGCCCCTTCCTCCACCTTTGACGTACCTCACTCCAGTCTGCATGTAGCATCACACTGCCTTCTCCTTTCTTGCTGTTCTCTTGGGAAGACATCTTTAATACATCATTGGTTTCATCTGGACAATCCAAACACTCTTTCTATCACAAAATCTTTAACATAGTCATATTTGCAAAATCCCTTCTGCAATATAAGGTAATATTTTCAGACTCTAGACTTGAACTCAGGAGACATTACTCAGCCTATCACATGGCTCTTGGGCAATCACTGCAGTATGAAATTATTTAGTTTTACAAAAAAATTGGTGTTAAAGATACTTGCTTAGAAAAGGCCCACCTATCAGATTTTGAAACACTGGCATAGAAATTTCCCTGTGGCACATTTTCACACCTGTCCACTCAGATTCTTTTACTGGCCTTATTATCTACTTAACTTTAAAGGTTATTGTGCAATTTATGTTTTTGTTGTTATTGTCAGCTTTATAATGTGTTTTACAATGGCTGACATTGTATATTCTGGAAATATGACACATGTACCTTGTTAAAATAAGGATAACTATAACTATGATAAGCTTTAAAAAGTATGTTTTAATTTACTTCCCAAAATGTATACAAAAGAAATTTGACTTTGAAAGCTTCCTTCCTTTTCCACATAACTAAAAACTTATTATTCAAAGAAAAAATTAAAGAAAAAACTAAGATAAATGTTATAACCACAGAACTAAATTAATATATCATTTGATCATTATTGCTTAAAACCAGTGAGAATTTGTGGAAAACTGTATAGAAAACTTAATTAGTTACTGTTTGAAAAGGTGTTCAAAGTGGTACCTTAAAGCAAACTGGTCATCTCTATCACAGTGTAGAGACCAGTGTGTGAAGCCCAGATAGTCTCATTGTAAATACAACTTTTTGATAATAATTTAGTATATGGAGACAAAATGACAATTTTGGTTCAAAATTCCTAAGCTAGCTTTTATGGCAAAATTAAAATAATTGCTTTCAGGTAAAAATCTCAACATGCTCTGAAAGCAAATGTTTTTATTAAGTTTTGATGCTGAAGTCTTGGTTTTTTAAATTTCAGAATCAAAGCCTTGTTGGCAGCAAATATTCTCTCCTTAGCCGGAGCTCTCTTGATGGGGTGTTCCAAATTGGGACCATCTCATATTCTCATAATTGCAGGAAGAAGCATATCAGGACTGTACTGTGGTAAGTTGTGAGCCTGTGCGTGCACACACACACACACACACACACATGAGACATCTTTGAAAAGTACTCTGTGATAACATACATGGTTATTTTTGAGCCTATGGAGGGATCACAGAAAGAAAGGTAATAGCATAGAGTTTGTTATATCCTGAGTCAGGGTTTGAGCCTAGCAAGTGGAAACTGTGGTCCAATCCATGTTCCTATCCACTGTAATAACTTCATTTCTAGTTGTCTTATCTCAGCCAAATTATTTAACTCTGGCTCTCAGGTTTGTATGAAATAAAGATAATAGCTGTGCTACCAGATGATTGTAAAAAGGCATGTAAAGTGTTCAGGATAGAATCAGACATATGGTAAGCTGCCAATAAATGCTAGCAGTTGTTATTACTCCTGTCGTGTCGTGGACAGCAAAAGATGGCAACTCTCAGACCCCCAACTCTGCCTACCTGTGTGTGTCCTCCCTGAGGCAGTAAGACTGCACACCTGGATTGATCTCTTTTAGACCATACTTTCTGGCCCTATCAGATTGTAGCTATCCTTCCAAGCACTAATATTCACTGGAATGGAGAAGGGATGATGAGGGTACAAAATTTGTGTGCATGAAGTATTTCTAACACTTTTACTTGCACAAAAAACTATAATTCCATGTGTTTTCAATGATCAGTATAAGCAAAATTCTAAAATACCCATGTCAATAGCTTAATTAAATGTCTCTTTTCATTATTATCAATGTTAATACAAATAACTGAAGGTCATAATGGCTCTATTAAGGTGAAGAGTCAGCCTACAAGTTGATAAATTGTGGATTCAGAGTGAATCAATTCTGGCACTATTTCTGCCTGGCCTTAGACAGTGTTAATTAAGTCTGAGACTCAGGTTCTTCTTCTGTAAAAGCAGATAGTAACAGTATGAAAAAGATCCAAATCATGATTAATTTTTCTCTTTGTTTTTTAAAAATACAGCACAAAAATTTCATTTTTTGGAAAACTTAGAACAAATTCCATAAACATACTGTGAATTAACCTATAAGCATTCTCAAGTATCTTGCACTCTCCAACCATCTTTTAAAATTACATGTGGCTGTACTTTTAGCATTAAAGTTGCTAAAAATATAGGAAATATAATTTTACTTTAGGCTTATTTGACTTTAAACCTGTGAGTTTATTTATATCATTGTGAATGTGAAGTATAGTATTAGGTATCATAGGAAGGTAGTACAACTGCAAAAGGACCAAAGAAATGGGGTTTTCTTATTTACACTCTGCATATCACATGTTAAAGTCACATGTAAAATTCTGCAGAGGTACAGATGCCATATCAACCATATTAATATATACTTGAGATATAACAACAGTTTCAAGTACACAGACATACACAACAGAGAGAGAGGCAGGAAGGGAGGGAGGGAGGGAGGGAGGGAGAGAGAAAGGGAGGGAGGGAAATATTTGCCAGAAGCATCATTTACATAAATATCACCCACTTATATTTGATTGGTAGGCATAATATAACACAAGATGTGAAAAATCATAAAATTCTTCTTTTTTGGTCGGGAATCGAACTCAAGACCTTGTGCTTGCCAGGCAGGTGCTGTGCCACTGAGCTACATCCCCAGTCCCTTCATTTCAAAATTCTTTAAAAACTCTCAAGACCACAATCAGCAAATGGCTGCATATACTACCATTTCCAAAATCACTGATTGTGTGTGTAGTTAGGAAAGTTAAAAGAGGCAGAATGGCTTAGTACTTTCAATTTTTTGTATTTGTTCAAGCATCAAAGATCTTTCTTCAAATAAAATCTTTTCTGAAGCCCTTAATATCTGAACTGAATAAAGAAGCAAGGTTGCTCTGATCTGAGTAATTGAGGAAAGAGTCCTCGAGTTCCTTACCCTCTTCCACCTTTCTACATCTCCTTACCACCAACAGTGTTCTTGAAGCACCTCAGCATTATGGAGATTCGGTTAGGCTCCTAGTTCTCATAATAGCACCCTGTTGTACTGTGATCTTGGACAAGTCACTTCTTACCTCTACCAAGGGGTTGGTCTATTGAAGTTCTAATTTCTTTTCAAACTCCTTTCTCAAGGTAATCTGAGCTTTCATAATATAAACTAAATATTGGCATAGATTTCTTAAAGTAAAACATCATGAAAAAATGCTAAGTATATGAGTAAGCATTTCTTTCTATTAATATTTAGAGTTGCATCAACAAACATTTTTTTTGCCTAAACTGTGTTTATGGCTGGAGATAAGGGCTCTTTCTTCCAAGGCACTCAGGATGGGATTTTTCAGTCATGATATCGATTGTATTTAGACTAAATTATTGTTATTAAAATATTTCTGGATATACTTTGACATTTATATTCATGTCTTACGCAGGCCTAATTTCAGGGTTGGTTCCAATGTACATTGGGGAAATTGCTCCAACCTCGCTCAGAGGTGCGCTTGGCACCCTTCACCAGCTGGCCATTGTCACAGGCATTCTTATTAGTCAGGTAAAAATCCCACATCCCCTACTTCATCCATCTTCTGCTTCCATTCTCTCCCTCCCTGACTCAGTGCTTATACTGCAGACACATACAAAGGAAAAAATATTCTAATAGTGTGGTAGTGGAGGTTGTAAGAGACAAAGGCTTTTGGTTCAAAAGTCAGTAGTTACCACTCCTCACTTTTCTCCTAGAAGTTGTAGGTAAGATTGGTACTGGAGGTGAAATTTCCAACACTACTCCAGAATTAAATTATTTCACTTAGATTTCAAGGAATAGGAAATTTCAAATTTTTGACTGCCTAGGTTTCCTTTGTTTTGAGGATCTCACCCGGAAATCTAGTAGGCAGACAACTATCACAAGAAGCTCTTGTTCAGCTGATTCTATCCTTTTCCTTCTTCCTTGTGGTCTCAGAGGGAGTGTTTAGAAGCCCACATGTATGATCCAGAAGAAAGTACACAGACTACTGCAAGTGGGATCAGACAGCTGGTTCTGATCCAGTAATTGTTCTATGAAACCCCATTTTACTTAATCTAACCTAAGAAAGAATTTTAAAGCAAAGCCCTAAAGTTATGCATGATTTTAATCCTATATTATTCCATCTGGTTGCCTGGTGACTACAATGGTATATTGCTTTAGATATTGAATATATTTTTAAAAACTAGATTGCTTCCCAACCTAAGTGTCCAATTGAAGTTAGTGAAAACAAGCCCAGATGAAATATTTGTCCAAAAAAGTTATCCTGCCTAGTTATCCTGCCTAATTTGATTAAGGTGAAATACACTAGAAATAGTTTCTATCTCATATTTTTATGCACCGAGGTTGATAGAAATTACTTTTTCTTTAATGGTACTTGGGATTGAATTTAAGGCTTTCACATTGAGCTACAACTCCAACTCCCTCCCCTTTTTTTTGAAACAAGGTCTCACTCAATTACTAAATTGCCAAGACTGGGCTCAAACTCCTACCTCAGCCTCCCAGAATGCTGGAATTAGAGATGTGCACCACCATGCCTAGCTGGGATTATGATTAAATAGCCAATGTAATTTTTCAACAAATTATTGTAGAAGGCAGACCTAAAGTGTTATGCAGCTGATATGCTTCTTCCTTACCCTCCCAGATTACTGGCCTTGATTTTATCCTGGGCAATCATGACCTGTGGCACATCCTGTTTGGCCTATCTGCTGTGCCAGCTCTTCTGCAGTCTCTGTTACTAATCTTCTGTCCAGAAAGCCCAAGGTATCTTTACATCAAGTTGGAAGAGGAAGTCAAAGCAAAGAAAAGTAAGTCTGTCTGTGTTTTCTCTTTCATCCTATTGTTTTGAAATTATCAGCTAATGCAAAATAGTGTATGTAAATGGCTGCTTATAAAATAGTTTCTGTGCCTTCCACATGAAGTCAGAGATCATGTGTGAGAAGAATACACAAAATCACTGTGATAGAGCTTACCATCTCACACCCATAAACCTTTGATAGGACTGGTGCATACCATCTCACACCCAAACCTAAACCAGAAACCCACCTGTAGGGTATTAGACTTAACCAGAGGTTTCCAAAAGAATTTCTAGTATTATGCTCCTATGATAACAGGGATCATAGTTTTCTCTATCATGATATGAAGCCAAGTGTTCTGCCTTTTTAAAATCAAAGAAAATCATTTAATTTAACAACAACAAGAAAAGATTTCCAATGGCCATGCTATTAGATACTATAGAGAGACATGCAGAATTATAGCTCTTTCATAAACATAATATAAATAAATTTGCTTTTGTTTGACCTGGATTGTCTCAACTTGATCATTTTGGGGGACAGGTTTGAGAAGACTCAGGGGAAGTGATGATGTCACCAAAGACATAAATGAGATGAAAAAAGAAAAAGAAGAAGCATCAAGTGAGCAGAAGGTCTCTGTAATTCAGCTCTTCACTGATTCCAGCTACCGACAGCCTATGATAGTGGCGCTGATGCTGCACATGGCTCAGCAATTTTCTGGAATCAATGCTGTAAGTTTAAGGACTCCTTCTAACTTTAGGAAAGCAAAGTAAATTAACAGAGAGAGGGAGAGTATAAGTTTAAATAACTACAAGACACTTTAAAATATTGGCATCATATGTTACTATAACAAATATAGATTAAGTAATCATAAATTTTTCTTGCTTTGCTTCTATGGCTTTCTAAAATTAACTCACAATTTATAAAAAAGTCAATAATCTATAGTACTTTATTTCCTTATTAAGATGAAAGTAAAAGACAAAAGTCATAATAAATGCAAGGAAGAAAAAAGAGAATAAGTATACCGCTTCAAAACAAACCCTAAATAACATGAGGTTTCAAGAGTTGAGTATGAAATTTAGCATTTCTAAGCATCCACAGTTTCCTTTATTTAAATGAAGTACTGTATATGAGATAGGTAGATGCAAAGAACAATTTCTTACCATAACAGACTTCCATTATATTGGGTGAGACAGCACACAAAATAAAAAATAATAGAATGAATTGGGTGAGTGTAGTAGAGCAGACATGATTGGAAAAGTATGCTGCGTATTAAACCAGTAGCTTTAATTTCTGAATTGAAACCCCTGCATCATGCAGACTAAATGGTTTTACTGGCAATTACCTACTAGAACAAAAAAATAATAAAGCACTTACTAAGAAACCAAATAAAGAAAATCACTCTTAGCTGGGTGTGGTGGCGTATGCCTATAATCCCAGCACTTAGGAGGTTGAGGCAGGAGGATCATGCAAGCTCAAGACCAGCCTGGGCTACAAAGTGACCTCAAGACCAGCCTGAACTGCATAGTGAGACCCACAATCAAAAGCAATAGCAGCAAGAACTCATACACACTGGTGAGAGCACAAAATTGTCATAACTTCTTTGGGAAAGTGTTTTGCAGTATCTAGCAAAGTAGAGTATGTGCATACAGTGTGGTCCAGCAATTCTATCACGAGACATAAAAGCACATATATTTCACCAAGGGAATTGTTGGTAGCATTATTCATAATCAGCCCTAATAGTAGCAACCTAAAATAGTCATCAGAAGTAGGATGGGTAACTAAATCATGGTAGATTTGCAACAAAATACTATATAGTAATGGAAATGAACAGTCTATAACTATATACAATAGTAAAGATGATTCTTACAAAGGTAATATTGAACATAAAAAGCCAACCACAAAAAAGTATTTATTATGTGCTTCTCTTTTTATCAAGTGTGAGACTAGGCAAAATTTATCTATGATATGATACTGGAAGAGTTATTTCCTGAGGTCAATGAATAAGGGGGACATATAGCGAGTTTCTGTAGAGCAGTGAATGATTTCTTCCTTGTTCTGAGTGCTGATTACACATGTATGGCCAGTTTCTTCAAATTAATTGAGCTGTACATTCACAATATGTGTTATTTTATACATGTCATCCTTTAGCAAAAGTTTAGAAATTAAAAGAATTTTAAAAGTCAGTAATAGAGTTTTCAGCTAAATGTAAGGAGGACTTTTAAACAGTCAAAAGTTTCAAACACTGAAGGAAGTCTAGGTTTTCCAAGAGGGTATTGTAAACTCTTTATATTCTTGGGAACTATTATAGAAACATATAAAAATATACAATTAAAAACATTTCTTGATTTAAATATACCAATGCAAGGCTACCTGGTTAAGGCTGACCTGGTTTTACTTTACAGATCTTTTACTACTCAACCAGTATTTTTCAGACAGCTGGAATCAGCCAGCCTGTTTATGCAACCATTGGAGTTGGCGCCATCAACATGATTTTCACTGCTGTCTCTGTAAGTCAATACCTCAAATAAACACTCTGTTTGTTCCTTGATCCCAGGAATGGGGAAAATAACTTGTGACCTAATAGTGATCAATAACTTTTTTCCTGTGTAACCTGGGTGTGTAGACCTAAGTAGTTCAAGGAAGTCCTCTCTGTGAATAAGCCAACCATTGCCCAGAGAAGAATCATAACTGAGCAAGTGAACCACTCCTGATTCAACTACTCACTGGTGAATTAATAATTCACTGGGAGGAACATGAGACTTTTTCTTTGTGTAAACCCCTGGGTTCCTTCTCCTTTGCTCTTTAAACTCCTTAGGATTATCTGACAGCTTGCCATTTTTATCAATATTGAGAAGATTACCTAGGTTCTTCTTCCATGGATGAAATACTTTTTTATCCTGATATCTTGGAGAAAAAATTATAAAAATAATAAACAATATCTTCTGTACTAAACATCTAGACTTTAAGCAGAATTCAACAAACTCAGATAGTTCCTATAGTGTTAGATTATTGAGCAAAATTTGCAGGTACTTCCCAAAGGCACAGCTTCTAGTGATGCATAAGAGTATGTGTGACATCAAAGGAAAACAATCAACAGAGTGTGGAGATAGCCTATAGAATAAAAGAATATCTCTGTTAACTTCTCTTCCTACAGAGAGGACTACCATGAGGAATACATAAAGAACTCAAAAAATTTAACACCAAAGAATTAAATAGCCCAATCACTCACGACAAATGTATTGAGCAAGATATTTCTCAAAAGAAGTGCAAATGGCCAGTAAATATTTGAAAAAACGTTCAACTTCTTTAGTCATAGAAATGCAAATCAAAAATACACTGTGATTCCATCTCACTGCAGTCAGACTGGCCATCATCAAGAATACAAAAAACAATAAATCCTGGTGAGGATATGGGGGAGGATGGGACTCTTTCCACACTGTTGGTGGGAATGTAAATTAGTACAGCCCCTTATGGAAATCAGTATGGAGGTTCCTCAAAAACTGAAAGTAGAGATATCATTTGATTCAGCTATGATACTCCTCAGTATATTCCTAAAAGCAATTAAAGTCAGCATCATATAGAGATTTACAATGTATGCATACCAGCTGCTGGTATGTTGTACTAGCATAAGCATATTTTTGAAGTGCAATTCACAATAAAAAAAGCTATGGGAACAACCTGGGTGCACATCAATGGATTAATGGATGAAGAATAACACATATATACATATTATGTAGCCATAAAGAGGAATGAAATCATGTTGAAATTATGCAGGAAAATGGATAGAGCCAGGAATCATCATGTTACACGAAATAAGTCAGGTGCAGAAAGTCAAATATTGCATGTTTCTGCTTACATGAAGAGCCTAGTGGGGAAAAGAGAAGTGAGGAAGATACGCAGGTAGAAGGGAGATGATTAGAAAAGAGGAAGGGGCAGGGGCAGGGTGAAGAAAGGGGAGAGTTCATGAGGAGGGGAAATGATCTAAGTATGTTATATGCATGTAGCAATGTGCCAAAATAAAACCTACTAATCTGCACAATTAATATTCATTAATAAAAGGAAAGGTAAAAAAGAATATTGTGGTAGAAAAGGAGGGGCAGAAGAAGTATTACACTAGAAATGTATTGTTTCTTACAAAAGAAAGAGTTTACATGCTTTACTTAGAGCCAAAAACCTTCTAAAAGTAATAATCTAATATATTGACAGCAGTACTAGTTAACATGATCTAAAAAATAAACAGCAAAGATAAAGACTTATGAAGTAATATATTCATTCTAAAATGAAGGTTACTTGGCCAATTTTATCTTTGAATACAAAATGATCAAAATGCTTATCCTTTCTCCATTTTTGTCAAAATGCTATACTCTATTTTAGCTCCTTTTAATTCTTTGTCTTCTTATGGACTTTTAATTATTTCCTTAGTGTGGTCAATAAATTACAGGCTGGCTACCTAGACCAAAGCACAGGTTTTTCCAGGCTACATTAAACAATGCTGGACCTTGAAAAGAGGAAGAACAAATAACAGAACACCAATGTCTCTGTACACATGACTTTAGAGGTAATGGTCGTTAAGTCAAAAGGCCACTATAAATCAGTGAAGAACTTTACTAAGATACAATCCAAGGTATTATGTGCAATCCAAGGGATTTTTTTGTCTTTTGGAATATTTTTAAAAATTTTATTTCAACACATTTTTACAATATAGAAATTGAATATTAAAATATATTTATAATATGATTTACTACATAAAGCAATAAGTTTTCAAGAATGAGTAACCCACAATCTGAGGAAGTCTAATGTGGAAACTTCTGCAGAATTTCATTTTTGCACTCCACATGTAACCTCGTTGGAGTGGGAACAGTTGTTTTATTTGTAAGTATCAATATTTATTTTAAACATATCTTTTTAGAGCTCATCCTTTGTTTCTGTTTTTGAGCAGCTAAATGACATAATAGAAAATAATCAGTTCTAATAATCTCATTTACACTCAAGACTAAGATAAAATTTTAAATTTTCTGAAAAGTTGTTTAAAAGTTTAGAAAGTACAAAAAGGGACCACAATAGCCACTCAGTTTCTCTGCCTCAAATTAACCAATATTACCAAACCATGCACCCTCTCAAGTAAATATATGCAAATAGGAATCTACACTAATAACATGTTAACATTTGATCGACTTAGAAGCAACATAAACAACCTTTTTTTTCTGAGTGAGTGTTTGGGGAATGAGATACACTTTCCTAAATTCCCACTGCATTATGTTCTGCATTAATGAGTTGCTAGAAATATAACAGTATGACTCCTGGAGAGAAGCAGGAGCTACTGAACTCCAGCTAGGTACCTGGGATCTGACTGATGCATGTGGTCTAGGGTAAAGATGAGGGTGGTAGTCAGGTCGATGCCTCCAGCTCCTGATCATGTTCACCCTTTGTTACATGCATTCCTGAGTGCACATCCAGCCTCGAGGCCAGAGTCCAACTCACTTTTTAAGGCACCAAGGTTTAGAGTTTATTATCCAATTAAGAAATTTTTCAGAAACAAAAGAAACGTATAGTGAGAGCCATTATGCCTGAGGAAATATTTTTATTTTCCTGGTAGCTTGTCATGGAATCAAGTCAATTTGAGTGCCATAATTAGTTCTATATAAGAGAATTTTTCTGAATTTGAGAAAGATTTGGTTCGTTTTTAACAATTAAATGCAAGCTCTTTGCCTACCATCTTTTCTGAAGTGATTTGGAACTCTGATATGAATGAGATAATACAAGAGTTGTCACTATAAGTAAAATGTTTATCAAATATCTTCAGAGCCACAGCTAACTCTACTAAGGCTATTGGGTTGCTATTCATTTGCTAATAGATTGATGAGCTTTTACTTATTGAGGTGAGAAGTTATGACAAGTGCGAGTGTGTGTCAGTGTGTGTGTTGGCGTGGGGGTAGTCTTGGCAGTATTGAATGACTTAGACAGGCAAGACTCTATTAAACAAACACTGATCATGGTTAACAATAAATCTTAACCATTAATGCACAGGTTCACAGATTCAAAAGAATCAATGGTACATTTCCTAAATTAGAATACAAAAGTACTCTAACTCTGCTTTACAGTATTTTTAAATATATAGTTCAATACCAGTGCCTCATACATTTAAGTACACCAGAAAAATGCAGACCTATTTGGTACAATGATCAAATTCTGTATGTTGCCAGGTGAGTGGTCATAATTTGACTTTATTAGACAGTGAGACCATAGAGTGAGAATACTGGCACCTGAATAGTTGGCCTGTTTCAGATGCCTGTAGTACCCAAACCCTTGTAATGATAAGATAAGCATCGGAGGAAAATTAATGCCATTTTTAATGTAGATTTATTGGAAGAGATTCAAGACATACAGCTTCTGACTGCTGCACCAAGGAGATAATCCTATAGTGGTGGTAACACTGTGGCTCTAACTTTAAAATGGTCTGTTCAAATCAAAAATATGACCCCATGAATACTTGTTCACTGACACTACCTCTGCCACCTGGGACAAAAGTCACTCTGCACCTCAGTCTAATATCCATAAAATGGAATAACAGCCCTGCTTCTTTCCCACCATATAACTGAAAATGACCTTGCTAGCAACAAAAATGATTTAAATATGAAGACAATATATTCTAGCTGACACAACTGAAATACTATTTTTTAAACTTTCCTAGGTATTGCTTGTAGAGAAGGCAGGACGGCGCTCTTTGTTTCTAATTGGAATGAGTGGGATGTTTTTCTGTGCCATCTTCATGTCCGTGGGACTTATGCTGCTGGTGAGTTTAGTGCCCAGACAGATCATTTTTGTTACCACATGACAACATCTTTGTGTTCCAAGTTAAAGGTCTTTGTAGGTCAAAAACATAAGACTTACTTATGAAATAAAGTCAACAGAAGAGTATATAATGCAAAAGTCCAAGGTAAAGAAAATGAGAACTAGTTTCATCGGGTTAAGGAGTAAGTATCAGCATGTCACTTACGCTTATTGTTCTGGAAGGCAGTGTTATCATGTGATTAGAGCATAGGCTCTGTGGTCAGTCCCAACTGGGTTCTAATGCTGATTTGGTCACCTGGCTGACTTTGAGACCCTGAGCAGGTACCTAGAATTTCTCTCAGCCTAGAGTCCTTATCCACCACTTCACAGGAAGTCAGACACCCTATCTAGCCACCTTGGTTTATGTGGGAGTAAAAGATACTGGATCTTTGCCTGGACTTTCACAGGAAGAGAAAAACTAAAGATTAGTAAAGTTTTAATATAAACAATTGCCTGTAATGGCACTCAAAGGATTTAAGCATGATTCAGACTAGAATAACATGTGTCAAGACTAGAATAACTGGCACTTGATTGAACATAAACATATTTAGGAGAAGAGCTATGTCCACCTCTGAAATCTCTGAGAAGCTCCTTAACTAAAGAAAGAGTGGCCAATGATCCCATCCTCACTTTTGCTCCTATTTTGCTTTCTCTCCAGGACAAGTTTGCTTGGATGAGTTATGTGAGCATGACAGCCATCTTCCTCTTTGTCAGTTTCTTTGAAATTGGGCCAGGCCCCATCCCCTGGTTCATGGTGGCTGAGTTCTTCAGCCAAGGACCACGTCCTACTGCTCTAGCACTAGCTGCCTTCAGCAATTGGGCCTGCAATTTCATTATAGCTTTGTGTTTCCAGTACATTGCGGTAAGTGGCCCAACACTGTGTAAATTTACCGAACGGAAGACAAATCAAACAGCTGCTAATTGTAACTCTGTTTGCTCTTTTTCCAGGACTTCTGTGGACCTTATGTGTTTTTCCTCTTTGCTGGAGTGGTCCTGGCCTTTACACTGTTTACATTTTTTAAAGTTCCAGAAACTAAGGGAAAGTCTTTTGAAGAAATTGCTGCAGAATTCCGAAAGAAGAGTAATTCAGCTGAACGGCCAAAAGCTCCTGTAGAAATGGAATCTCTTAGAGCTACAGGGACTGTGTAAAGATAACTTGCCTTTTTATATGAAGAAAACAGGAAGAAAAGTATAAATTTTAAAGGATTCTTTGAGAAGTTTATACACACATTTCAAAGTATTATTTTATTTTTTAAAGAATTTTATTGGCTCCGGTCAGAAATGTTAACAAATGTTACCAAGGAAAGTATTTTTTAACCTAGAGACTCAATCTGTTTTTAGTGGTTAGACTTTGTAATTAAGTAAGTAAAATGGCTAGCTAACTTCTTTTGGTACTCTAAAGGACAAGGATGTTGTAATTTTCTTAGTTCTATTTTATATTAGAGTGTTCCCCTGAAATTGAAGAGCTTTCAATACATTATTGCTTCATTAAATAGGTGACAGGAAACGTCAAGATACAACTAATATTTATAAATTTAAATATGGTTAAATTATAATTCACTGACCCACAGATTTTATACTAATGGAGATACAGCTAGTGGCAGTAAGATTCATGTCAAAATCAACTTTTCTATTTCTCTTACTCAGCTTCTGTCTTGTTTATTAGAATTTGTACTGTTAAACAAAATGTTAGACAAACATTTTACTTTTCTGTATTTTCATGCAGAATGATTTATTGAATATCATAAAATATGTTTATGAAGAAAAACATTTATTTTTGGTAGATATCAAAAATCTTCTTGTACTTAGAAGACAACCTAATTGTTTCTTTTGGCTAAGAAGCAAATAGCTTTTACAAGACTAAACACTTAAAAGGTTTTACCTGGCCATATATACAGGATTGGATTGGATTATCAGTCAATATTGACGCCTATTACAAAACCAAGTTAAGTCCTTGCCATTTATTTCTGATGTTTTATTTTGTTTTGCTCTTTAGCATAGCCTGGTTGTCTGAGCTATATAACAAAACACATGAGTTAGGCATTCTCCTTATTTCCCCAAACCTCAATAAATTGGATCAATCCAACTTAGAGACATTTGGAGTGAAGGATTACTATTTATTAAAAATATATATATATTCTGAATTAGTATGGTTCAAAACAAGTTAAAGAGGTAGGGCTTCAAAATTCCGAAGAGTAGGGTCCTGAAACCATGAATGCTCAACTTCACACTTGATCAAAATCCCTGTTTGATTTTCCTGGAAACGCTATGTTCCCTAACACAGAACAGTCATCCCCTTTGAATTCTTTCTTTATCTTAACTGTAGATAGACTCCATCCAAACTATTATTTTATTGCTGTTACTAACATGTACTGTATGCTACCAATAAGGTAGGCACAGTTCTAAGCACTGTGACCCACATAAGCAAATTGGAAATACACAGATGATCAAATAGACTTCAGCTTACAATGAACTTTACAAATATGGAAGCATAGTTCTGCTGGATGCCAAAAACTTAGCAGAGCACTAAAATTGTCTCCAGAATGTTTTCCCTACAAAATGTAGCACTGAATCAATCTTCTTTATCTTTGTTTTAATATACACTGAAGAAAAGCAAAATCCTTTGCAGTATTTTTAGGAATTGAAAAAAGCCTTGCTTCTTAAATTTTCTTCTTTCTTTCTCTTGGTTAACGTTGTTCCCATGTATGCAACTTGGCAATGGAAGGAACATGAAATTATTTTTCACTTTGACTATTTTTTTTTCCTTTGGGCCAACTTAGAACTATTTTTTCTTGTGACTTCAGGATACAAAGTGAGCATAAATAGTTAGTTGAAGAGCTCTGTGCTAGACTGTGAGCTCTAGATGAAAGTGTAGAGACACTGAGTAGGGGAGGAACAAGACAATGTTCCTGGGTGGCTTCTGTTTGTATTTCACAATGCTAATGGACTTTGGGATGTCCAGTGTTATGATAATAAAGGAATCTGCCACTTTTTAAGGGAAGAATGTCATTTATATCAAATCATGATTCTTGGTGTCATTTACTAAAAAAAAAAAAGTAGTCAAAGTTTTTTAAAGAGTCCCAAAAGTCATTTTTAAGTTCTAGTTAGCTATTTTGACTTACAAATACCAGACATTCAGAATTTGAAGTTTTCTTCCTCTGTGTGATTTAAGTACCTTTCATTATTTTCCTTCCACAATTTTTTCCTGGCAGAATCACCCTTCACATCTATCAGAAATTGGTTCCAAAAACCCCATACAACCCCTGCAGGTACCCAAATGCTCAAATGTTGCAGTGTCTTAGGAAAAAAATGGAGCAGTATTTACATATAACCTACATAAATCCTCCTGTATACTTTGTATTATCTCTAGATTACCTATAAGACAATGTAAATATACTGTGTAAATTATTGTTACATTGTACTGTTTAGGGAATAATGACAAGAAAAATATCTGTACATGTTCAGTACAGATACAATTAAAAAATTTTGAGTCTAAAGATGCAGAAGTCACCAAAACCAACAACTAATTGTGTTGAAAATATTGAGGATAAATGAGAAGGCAATAAAGCTTCATACAGAAACCAAAAAACTAGTTTAACAAAACAAAAACCCCTAGGAACGCAACAGTATACTTTATAGTAAATAAAAATAGCACAGTTTAGATTTAATCTTAAGAAAATTAGATATGAATTTTAACACTTAATTTTCCAAGTATCATTCTTTGAGGAAGTACTTTCATACTCTAAAACAAATGTGATTATTCTCTTAGCTAGTTGGAAGTATGATTAGACTTCTTGGTCTGGCCACTCACTTGCTGTGTCTAGCTATTGCCCATTGTATTGGCACCTAGGAAAGTGTTTTTTCTAACTTCCTTCCTTGCTTTCCTCTACATAGTCACCAGGTGTTACAGCACACACACACACACACACACACACACACACACACATACACGCACGCACGCACACACTCTTTAAGGATCTCACAGTGTAATGGTGAGTGCAGGAAAACCAGTGTAATTGTATCCCATCTGGTTCTTATACCTTTCAAGAACCAGGTTCATGGAAAATGGGCACACTATTATCTACCTCAGAGAACTATCATGAAGATTAAGCATAGAGTGTTAAAATTAAGCACAGTGCCTGGTCTAAAGGGAATGCTCAGTAAATGTTACCTAGAATTAATATTCCCAGAAATACTGTTAGGGAAAAGGTTATCATATATGAGATAATTAGAAATTTTCTTTTAAATAAAAGGAGTTTTTATAAGTTCAGGACAATATTTTACTTCAAAAAAATGTCAAAACAAGGGAATGGTAAGAATCAGGGTAAGTACTGTCTATCTAATTTCTAAATCCAAATTTAATATTTCCAAGAAAGGCTTTAAGAATTTTTGTATTTTTTAAATTTGTTTTTGCCTAAATTATGTTATTTTTAAGGGATCTGTCTATAATATTTTTTCTTTGAGTAATGTTTGATACAAAATAAGATGTGGTATACCCTCTGTAAATTAACAGAATTACAATCAAGAGACCAAATGTTGTTGATAATTCTCAGAAACTGCAAAAATGTTATAAGCATGTAAACCAATGTATATGCATAAACTTTCTTATTATTAGCTTAACTGTTGCATATGTATCAATAAAACAGTGTTAGACAATATCTGTGCTTACAGTGTCCTAGGAAGAGGTGCTTCATAAACTGTAAAATATAAATATACATATATATTTTTTGAAATTACAATTCTTGAAGAGAAAACATTTATTGCCAATTACTCTGGGCAGTCTATTAGTGTTTTCACTGCCATCTAATTTGGTGTATATTAAAAGAATTATCATGGAAACACTGGCTTTAGTTAAAGGTATATACACACTATTGTTTTATGTCAATAAATATATTTCTGAGTGATTAACCTTGCTGTATTTTATATAAAAATGACTACATTGTTAAAAATGGATATTGGTTACAATATATACAGTACTTTTTTTTTCCTATCTCACGGTATTTTCCTTATCCTCATTTTGGGGATAAAATGTGAACTATTTATTTGCATTACCATGGTGGTTGTTTTAGTTAAAACTAACTTGAAAGATAGGTAAAAGTAACTAAAGAGGAATAAATTATCCCCTTTGATAAAAAATAATCCAATAAATTTTAAATTGAGCTCCTATAATTTTTGTTAAAAGTTTACAAAACCTAGCCAGGCATGGTGGCACATGCCTGTAATCCCAGCACTCAGGAGACTGGGACAGGAGCATCATCATGAGTTGGAGACCAGCCTGGTCTACATGAGCAAATTCAAGACCAGCCTGTACTACATAGAGAAATCCTATCTCAAAAAAAAGATTAGAAAACATAATCCTTACTCTCCATCACATACATTCTTATTAAAGGAATAAGAATTTTTAAAAATAGTTACAGTTGTATAAATAATAAAGAATAAAAAGCACTATAAGTCACTGGCTTTCAAACTATTAAGTTGACATCTAAATTGGTTTCTTTCATAATCGTTAAACACTAGAAACACCCATGTCATTCAACTGACACAAAGGTAAACAATAAAATACTATGCTGCAGTAAAAAAGAACTGATGTATGCAACCACATACATGAATCTCAAATGTATGTAGCTAAGTGAAAGGAGCCTGTTTCAAAGAGCTACAAGACCTGATTCCATTGACAAGACCTCTGGAGAGGGCAAGAGTATGCGTTTGGTTTCAGAGTAGAGCATATTAGGAGTTGAAGACTACTTGCAAACGTGTAGCAAGAGAGAATTTTGAGGAGTGAGAAAACTGTTCCTTACTTTGATTGTGTGGTGGTGGTTTGCTGGGCTACATATTTATCTAAACTCCATTATATAGCCCCAAAAGTTAATGTTACTGTATATAAAGTTTTTAAAGTAAATGTAAATGTTTTTCTCTAATGAACTCAGGTCACTTGATAATTTGTTTCCATATTTTCTGCTTACGTTCAGTCATCAAAGCATGAATCAAAACCAAACCAGTTAAGCCTCATTTAGTAAGTCTGGGTTATTTGTGGCAGATGAAAGCTATGCCAACCATCACAACCCAGAGATAAACCAAAAGCGTATAGTTGAACTCCTCTTCACAGCCACGGAGCTGACACTCAAAACCCCTCTCCAGAACAGTTACGGAGGCTTGACTGAGTTTTAGCATCATTTCCAGACCTCCCAAAGTGGTGTCATTAATAATTAATGAAATGGCCCAAAAAAGAAAGCACTGGAAGAAACAGGAGTTTCAAAAATCTGCTAAGTCATAATAAATTTCTGAATCACTGAGAACTAAATATAAAGCATATGGCAGTACTGTGCCTGCGTCATGTGCTACACCATAATGCTGAAGCAGAAGTCAAACCCATAACAATGATCTCGTGATACTGCACAACCGAAAGGAGTCAGGGCGAGACTGGCTGGGTCTGGAGCTGTCTTCACTGTTACCCACCCATCTACATAGTCAGGACTGTTGCCAGTCAGAAAATCTGACAAGCAGTCCAGTTCAGACTTGTTCGCAAGTGAACTGGTGATTTTTTTTTTTATCTCTTAATGTTACAGTTTAACTAATTCACTAATGATTAAGACAAATTTAAAGACTGAGCAGGCCCCACTAGCTAAATGGCTATTGCACTTTAGTTAACACGCAAAGGATGTCTGCTGCTTGCAGTTAGCTAATAACGCATTATAATTAATAGTACTTTGGAAAAGTGTCCTGTCAGCGGGAGCTTTGAGGTTGTTTTCCTAATACACAAAGATGATCTCCATCAGGGTCCTTCTGTTTCATTAAATAAGTAACTGGTGCTGTCCCTACTCTAATCGCTTTAATTCTAAAAGTAATTTAGGTTCTAATTCCAAAAATTCACACCACTTTTTTTTTAGGATTTTCTTGAACTGACGTGTAGGGAGCCATGATGATAATCCTATTCTTACTCATCTCTAATCTGCCTTCGCGAAAGCACATCTATCTCAGTCAGAGGTCGCCGGTGAGCAAAACCCAGGGGAAATCAGTACAATGACTCATTCACCCTAGTCAATGAATAATAGCATGACAACATGGCCAAAAACCTACCTCCTTCTCCCACATCACGATTACTATCAAATACAAACCCACATAAAAATACTTTTAGAAATTCTCGTCCTCACACTCATCTTCCTATCTCTGTCATAGTCCCTCACCCATCCCACATTGCAGAGAAAAGAGGACAAGGGGGATGATCAAGTCACCCCTCATTCTACTTCCTGAATGGAGAAAACATCTAAATAATATAAATGTGTACCTATCAACAGAAAAAATGTTGTACATATTGCAAAGCAAGAACAATTATTCTATTGGTTCTGCAATTGTGTAAAATTTCAATTTTTATCAAGTTAGAAATTAGATATAGAAAATTTCTAATAATTTTAGCATTGTATCACCTAGTGGAAAGTCTAGTTGAGTCATCTGGGATATGTGGTAGAGTGCTGTATAAATGTCAGGTCAGTTTGGTGTATAATGTTCAGGTCTCTCATATGCTTACTGATGATCTTTCTTCTCCATGTTTTCTGCCAGCTACAGAGAGAGAGAGAGACATATCGGCCTCCAACAATAATTGTAGATTTGTCAATGGCCAACCTGTGCTGCTGTCAAACACACAGCTCACCAACATTCTTAGCATTCTAAATGCTATTATTACCATTTTTAATGAAGAAAATGAGTTACAGGGACTTAAACAAATTTTACAACCCCATTCAACTAGTAAACGGTAAAGTGGAATTCAAGTTGAGATAGTTTGACTACTGACTTTCTGTTTTTTACCCCACAATATACTCACATCTATGAATTTCAAGAGCAGATAAGTTGAATCCATTACTCTGAGATGCTGATATGCATATGCAGAGCTCTGCCTTTGAAAGGGCCCCAACCCTGGAAAGTGCTGCAAGTGGGGTCATTAAAGCCAACTCTGTTTGGGGATTAGCACTTCATCTGTCCTTGCTTTTTTGTCATCAGTGTGGTAGGACCTCAACAGGCCAATGTGGAGTGCAGGCAATGAAGGTGCCTGACCCAGGGTTGAAGAAAACCTGTTTCCAGATTCAGCATTAAGCTAGAAAGTCAAAGGAAGTCCCAGTTCACTCATAGTTTAGCAAGGCCAGAATGTCTCAGAGGAGGAGTTGGGGTAACTGTTGTATTCTGTCCTGGAGCATGACTTTAGCGTGTAGCTTTCAGGGAGACAGTATGCTGGTCACCTCTGTTTTCATCAGGGGCAAATTTAAACAGTAAGATTCTCCATAAGAATCTTAACCACTTATGGTTAAGATTGATAATGTAATAACCACTTATAAACCTGAGAAATGGAAATCACTATGAAAACTATGGTGGAAAAATATGGTGAAAGAACTGTTCTACTGTAGGCCTCAGAGATTTCTTTTTCCCTGACTTGCAGGCCCTCTGTTTAGATGAGGGTAAATTTTGTATCCAATGCAAAATTTCAGCAAAGACCAGTGTGTTTAAGATCTTGAAAGCAAGAGGTAAAACTACATTCTCTTTATTCTATTGAAGAAAGACTAGGAAGCCCAAATACAGTAAGTCCCTAATTGATAAACAAGTTCAGTTCTAAGAGAACATTCAGAAGTTGAATTTTTTGATAAGTTTGACAAAGTGAGTCATACACCTTTGACACAAATATACAGTGTAAAGCTTTGTGCTTCCTAGAAGTCCCCTCCACATTACCACTGCTTTTCCTCTTGCTTCCAGACATCCTGAGCTCTGACTGAGCACTGTCCTACTGTGCACTATTGCACTATTGCACAGTAAGCACACAGCAGCACAACTTGACAATGTCCAGTAAATACATGAGCTATTTCCACAACTTGTTCTGGTCTACCAAGTTCCTAATGCAAGGTCCGTTGGTATCTGTGAAAGTTCACAACTCAAATGTTTGTGAGTAGAGAACTTGCTGTACCAGATTGATCGCTAGCCTCTTTGGGAAATCTGCTCCCAATAGCAACCAGATGAGCCACAACAAAGTCAAATTCATCTTGCTACATGGTAACATGATTCCTCTAACTTCATCCTTGTGGATGCAGGAAGAGTCTGGTAACTATCAGAGCTGCCTGGCTTCAGGAAGGCAATACATACACTATAGAGATAAAGAACAAGATCTCTGAAATCATGATCGCAGTTTGAATCTGAGTTCTGCTCCTTAAGGGCTAGGTACTTAGCCTTTTTATATCTGTTTCTACATTTTAAAACTAATGATGATGATGATGATGGTAACAGGAGCTGCCTTCTAGTATTGCTATAAAAAAAGGAATGAGTTAATATTTGAAGAGTGTTAACACTAGCATCTGGCACATAGTGCTATGTAAGTGTTATTACAAAACTGATAAGAGACAAGTCTTAATACCAGAGTGGTAAATTATTTTGCAATGAGGAAACTGAGTTGTAGAACAATTAGACACTCATGTTGACCTGAGTAAGAAAAGTGAAATCAATATGGTTCTTGGTAAGCCAAAATATTAACAATCAAGAAGAGTTGGTACGATTTGATTATTTAGTTACCTTAGCCTATGAGTTAGTTTCAGATTAGACTTTTCATACCCATTCTTTTGTATGTGTTTGCAAAGATTCTATTGTGGAAGTTGCAACAATAATTTTGTGAGCATTATGTACATTTAAATTATATTCTCATTTAATCTTCACAACTTCTATAGAGTAAATACTATTAAAAGAAAACCAAGATTGAGAGTTGTATACATAGTACCTCTGTGATTTTTCCCTTGTAGTTTCCTTACCTGGAACACAAATTTGCCAAACACCTGGCTCATTCCTACTCATCCTTCAGGACTCAGTTCTAGGGTCTCCGTACTCTATAAAGTGGGCCCCAGTTCCCATTGCCTGGAGTCTCCTCTGAGAAAAGTACC